TAAGCTTTGCCCTCTCTTTCACAGAGTCAGTTGTTTTAACACCATCATTTTCTTTATCTGAATTACTTTCACTCGTACTCCTCTTTGAATTGCTTTTTGAGGTACGCTTGCTCTGCTCTTTCTCTATGTACTCCCTAGACTTCTTTATCAGGTTCTGAAGACTCATGACACATGGATCTTGGACATCCTCATCTGATGGTGACCCCACTCGTCCCTCCTGCTTCTGCAGAGCATGAGATGGGAGCTTGTTACACACCTTGTCAGGAGATGCAGCCCTCGGACACGGCGCATCTTCCACGAAGCAACTCTCACTTGGCTTTGAAAAAACATTTTCTTCTGCTGCTTTAACTACATCTGTCACATTTGATGTCACTTGCCCTGCAGTACCTGATGGTCTAAGTTCTGATGTCTTTTCCAGGTCCATGGAACTCTGCCTTTCAGGAGTACATGCTGAATTGACATCTGATAGAGCTGTGAAGTAAGTCAAAGCCTTTGAATCCAAATCAGGGCAAGAACTCTCAGTCTTTGATGTTTTCACATCACTCATCCTAGATCCTTTCTTCATCTGCAAATTAAAATTGTAAAAAAGGAAAGATTTTCAATGAAATCTCAGATTCCTGCAAACTTCACTTGAACTTAAAAAAAAATTTAAAAACCAACTTTATTTAGGTGAGAAGTACATGTTACTTCCAGCCAGCATTTGTTTAGAAGGATTTTCACACTACAATTATCCTATGAGCTATGTCTCAGTTATCAAAAGGACACATTTGGAAAAAAAAAACAAAACAAAACAAATTTACATTATTTTTGCACTGAACATGCTTTCCTTGTCTGCTGGTCAAACCCCAAGCCAGCTGACTGTTGCCACACACACTCAGTAAACAATGCAAACTACAAAGTGCTGTTTGCCACCTTGGTAACTCAACAAACACAGTATTAACTGTTTAAGCAACAGTTTAATCTAAAGGCTGTATTACAGCTGTCCCAAATATATACAATAACTCCTTGATTAGATGTATGTCATAGTCTTTTAAATTAAAACCTCTACTAAATTCATCATTGAAACAGCAAAGAAAAAAAAATAATTTTAAGAAAAAAAAATTTAAAGCACGCAACAGAATTTGAAGTTGTGAAAGTAATTTTAATTCTGTAATCATGAAGTTCAATATAGATTATTTTATGATTAATTTATAAGCTTGCAAATAAAGCAGCTCTAACACAGAGAAGTTGTTCACTTGTTTCAACAACCTAGTTGTTTCCAACACTTACAAAAAAAGCAGTGAGCTCTGTCTTTTGCATATAGCAAAAGAAGCAGTGAAAAGCAAGCCCCATGCACTACAATGAGTATCAGTAAATGATCACTTATCAGGACACACAGCATGAAATACTAGCAAATGCTGGTTCTGCAGAGTTAGCTGCTATTCATTTCATGCTTAACTTGGGGAATACTTAAACCCCAGCACTTTCTCAAAATGTCTATAAGCAGCAATTTTCTTTAAATCTATAAGCAGCTTTGGACTAACACTACCTGGACATTTTTGACAATCTCCTCAACACGATTCAATAGAGCTTTTTTCCGGGACTCCCGTTTCCTGCTCTCTAGCTCCAGTGCTTTCTCCTTATACTGCTGTATTTCTTTTTTCTTTTCAAGGCTAAGCTGCAAAACAGAGTGTAAGAAACATGGTTGATACCACTAAATGCAAATTTCAATGCAGAATTATAGAAATAAATTCAAAAGAAAAACAACAGAACAAAACAATTAGAAGAACAGAAAACACCTGAGATTTTGTACACATGTTAAATGCCAGCTTCTTCTCAACCAATTTTTTAAGGGAAGGTGTACAAAATGCCTTCTTGGAACAGGTGCAAATGAACATGAATTTAAAACACCATTTGTAAAATTTTCTATGAACATTACATGCTACGGTATCAATCTGACACAGGATTCAGAGATATTTCTAAAAACCCTTACAATATCCATGCATTTGTAAATGAAGAATGTGATAATATATCCACAATTTATATATGTATCATGACTTTTGGACACTGCTGAAAGAGACTCTTCCATTTCTTCCCATCACTGAAACAAGGAAGTCAGCTAAAGTATTGCAGGAACTACTAACAATCTTCAGTTCAGCTCTGTTTGCATTAGCACAGAATGACTTAACATAATTGATGAGCCTGTGGAATACATTAGAGGAAGATGCAAATGCATGCAAATATTTTTTTTTCTTAAAAGCTTTTTAACTATCCTGGTATTTCTTATTCCCATTTTTACACCATTAAAATAACTCACATGTTCAATATTTGAAATGTCAATATGATTTTACATGAAGCCCAGCAGTATCATTAATGAAAACAATCAACATTTGTGCTCCCCTTAGGAAGATAACTTCTAAAAAAATTAAAGGAAATGTAGTCAGTGTGAAGGGAAAAAACATATATTTAACCCCTTATTTTGTAAAATTAAGGTTAGGAATGCTTAGAATACACTAAGCAGCAGGTCAGATGACAGCTGACACAGACATCTTCAGTAGAATCATTACATGTGCACATCAAAGCCAGTGCCAATAGCACAGTTAGCACACCAGAGAGGAAAAGGAATAAAAAAAGGCCTTACCAGAGGGGAAAGCACAGGAACTCCATAGAATTGAATGAGGGAGATATTTTTGTTCTGAACAGTCAAGGAGGTTTTTCCTTTTATTGCCTCTTCTTGGATTCTGGAAAGATGCTTCCTACAGAATATTTCATAGTCCTCCATCTTCATGTTGTCTAAGCTGCAAAGAATAATAACATTACTCATCCATGTACTTCCAAGACACTGAAGGGGAAAACAACACCACTAATTCGTGTCTCACTCCCGCGAGCTTCCGTGTCTGTATGAACAGACGCCAATACTTACACCACAAAAAAGAAAAACACCAAATTGCAGCCTCGTATCCTTAGAAGCGGCCAAATACCTGAAAGATGTCTCACTGCCCGTCCCCTCCGGAGCGAGCCCCGCAGCGCCGGGCAAGGCCTGACACCGCTTTGTTCCCCGGCTCGCCGCTTCGGCCGATTCCTGCCCGCCGCTGCGGGCACGGAGCCCGCCCCAGGCCGGGGCCGATGGACGCCCTCCCCCGGGGCACGGAGCCCGCCCCAGGCCGGGGCCGATGCGCGCCCTCCCCCGGGGCCGATGCCCGCCCTCCCCCGGGGCCGATGCCCGCCCCAGGCCGGGGCCGATGGGCGCCCTCCCCGGGGCCGATGCCCGCCCTCCCCCGGCCCCGGCCCGGCCCGGCCCGTCCAGCGCTCGGTACCTGCGCGGGGCCCGCCGCGGCTCCCGCAACCGCCGCCACAACGGCCGGGCCGCCGCACGCCGGGCCCGGCGCGCCCCGCCCCGCCGCCGCTCCGCCCCCAGGCACGGACGGGCCCGGAGCGGCTTGCGGCCGTGTCCGCTCACACCGCGGGACAGCACAGCAAGGGCAGCCCCAGCCCGGCCAGGCCAGAGGGGTGCAGCGCCGTCCCGCAGCTCCCATTTCCACCCAGACAGGTTCCCCTGTGAGCACGGGTGTGAGCTGTTCTGCTTCATCCCATTACATACCACACGGCTGTGCGGTCCCGGTGTAGGTGCCGCTGCAGGTATCAGTTTCAGCGAGCACGCTGCGATAAGAGAGATAAACGTGCGCACCTGTTCCCATGCTCTGGGAGGACAGCATCCATGAGGGCACCACCAGACATCCTATCCCTCCCGCCGGTCTAGCCAGTCCAGCAGCAGGTAACACTCACCTGTCAGGCAGGTCAGGTGGAAGGGAAATCCACACTTGTTTGCCAGGCATAATCAATTTAAATATATGGACGCATCCAATTCCCAGCATTTAGAGCTGTTAAAGCTGTAATTCTAGTTTCAAAAAACAAGTTCATCATCTGTTACCTCTTCAGCGATCATTGAGGGGATTTATTTTTTTAAATTTCATCTTTAATCTTAGCAAATGCTATTGTTTATCAAAAGGTTTTAAAAGTATGTTAGACATCTAATTAGACAGTCCATTATTTGTTGTGCAACTGCATATATATCTCTGATTTTTCTTCAGCTACACCTGGCAGAAGCGCAAAACCACTGAGAGTATCTGAGATGCTCAGAACCAGCTAGGACATTATGTGACAAATCTTCCATCTCAGCAATTAAAAAAAAAAAAACAAACTAACAAAAAAACCCCCTACAACCATTCAGAACATGTGCCTGTTCTACCTCTAGCTGGACAGAGCTCCTCACTGGAAAGTCATTTGCTTCCCATCCTTCCCCAGATACCCAAAGAAGGTCAAACCCCCCACTTACATCAACACAAACTGCTAGTTCCTCACTTTGCTATTCCACTTCTAGACTAATCCTGCTCAGGCTCCCCACCCTTCACTTAACCGGTTGTTTTCGTGCCTTGTTGCTCATCTCTAGGTTCTTGGCGGATGTTCACAGGTGGTCGGGCCGGAGCAGCCTGCTCCTCCCACGGCTCCCGGGCTGGCCTGCGGGCAGGCACCACTGCACAGCCAGCTGCATAAAACACACTGCATATAACGTTGTGTATAGCAAACCCAGCAATCAACTGGGAAATAATCACTATGGATGTTATGTTTCTAATTAGCTAGCTGGCAAAGCTGCGGAGAGCCCTCAACACTTTCCATACACACGGGTGTTCTGCGACTTCCTGGACAGCGCTGCCCTTCCTTCTGTTAGCACACTTTACTTTCATGCGCACCATGTTCCATCAGGAACACCCCGTTTCCCTCAGTGTCCGTGTTCCATCAGGAACAGCCCCTATTTCCTCCGCGGTCCATCAGGCACAGCCCTCATTTCCCTCAGTGTCCGTCAGGCACTCGCCCCGCCCCGCGCGCCGCTCCCGGCGTTACCTGAGGAGGAGCCCGGGGCCCGGGCCCGCCCTCAGCGCGGCAGGCGGGCTCCGCGCGGACACTGCGGGCGCTGATTGGCTGCTGCGGCAGACAGCCGAGTGCTGATTGGCTGATGGAGCTGCCGTCGTCCTCGGCGTTCGGCGCGGCGGCGGCCGCGGTTCCGGCGCGGCACCGGCCGTGACCCCGGCGCGGCAGCGGCCGTGAGCGGGCCCGGCGCCGCCATGCTGTGCCACGGGGAGGGCCTGCTGAGCCCGCTGACGGCTCTGCTGGCGCTGGCGCTGGCGCTGAGCCGCAGCCCGGCGCTGGCCTGCCTGGTCCCGGCCGGGCTGTACCTGGCGCTGCAGCTCCTGGCGCTGGAGCCCGCGGCGCCCCAGAGCGCGCAGCGCGTCCTGCGGCCCCGCGGCGCCGCCGCCCGCATCGCGCACCGCGGCGGCGCGCACGACGCGCCCGAGAACACGCTGGCGGCAATCCGACAGGTCAGCGCGGGCCCGGGGCTTTGTGCGCCCATCGCCCGCCGGCAGCGAGCCGCCTCCCGGGATAACTCGGGCTGCTCCCACAGCTGCTGGGAGCGGGGTGGGCGGCTGGTCCTGCATCCCAAAGGGAGCTGCAGAGCCGACTCCTGTGGGAACTGTTGTAGCCTTGGTGCTGATGGGTAATTCAGCCGTGCAGCAATAATGAAATACTGGATTTCCTTGATGTAACAACAGCACACAGAGAGTGCACGGCAAGTCAGGAATAGGTTGTTTGGTTTTTTAAACCTTGAAGATCTGTGATGAAAATCCACATTTAGGAGAAAAATCTGGTACCAGATTCACTGTGGGCAGCCCTGCCATGCCTTACTGCTGCCTCATCTGCAAGGCACCAAGGAACAGCCAGGGTTCACAGTCTCGTTCTGAGAATCATTTGAAATAGTGATTATCAGTCTCTGCAATGTAGTGTTTCTGTGAGGCTGAGACGTTGCTGCTCTGAGGATCTCTTACCTTTGTGTGAGACAGGATTCTTAGTCCTGATAAATTCTGAAGCTGCACACTCCTTACAAAGCAGACACCTGGAGGTAACCTCTGTACCCGGTGTTTGTCCCTTTTCCCAGGAGGGCATTTGTCCTTCAGAGCAATTGGTGTTGTTAGCACTTTACTCAAATGTTTTTCTAAAGTTTTTGGGAAAGATCCAGGGCAGGAACAGGGTGTATGGAATGTTCTAAGGCAGCCTGGCTGCTTCTTGCTCTGTGATAAAGCCATTCCTGAGAGGAGCAGGGATTTGCCATCCATCTGCTGCTTGGAATACACGTGGTGAACAGTATTGACTGAGTGTTAAAGTGCACACATTTGATTCTCTTGTCTTTTAGAAAATAACGTAAGGACTCCAGGGTAATTACATCAGAAGGAAAAACCAGGATTCTTTTCTGCATTTTTATCCTGAAAGTTCCAATCCCAAGACTGAGGCTGTAAAGCAGTATGGTTTCAGCTGTAAAATAGATGAGATGGTTCAGCTGATAATTGAATGCTCAACAATGACTTGGATAAAACCTGCTTTTTTCTGCAGATGAAGATTACTGAAAAGTCCATTAATGTTTTATTATTTTTTACCAAAATACAAGCTAATTATAGCTGTACCTGTGTCAAATCCATAAAGCTGTCTCTTCTGTTGTTATTTTTAAAATTTTTTTAAGGCAGCTGAGAATGGAGCAACGGGTGTGGAGCTGGATCTTGAATTTAGTGCAGATGGTGTCCCCATCCTCATGCACGATGACACAGTCGAAAGGACAACTGATGGGGCTGGGAGACTGCAGGACCTGACTTTTGAGGAAATCAGGAAGCTTGATCCATCTGCAAAACACAGGCTACGGTAAATGAACTGATCTGAAATTACACTTTTGACAGTGGGAAAATAACTCTAGATGAACAGAATTATTGATTTGATCTGTCACTGATGAAATTTTTTTTTAATTTAAAACTTAGTCCAAAATTTGACTAAAACTTAGTCAAATTACTTCTAATTTGATTTTATAGGCATATGAAACTATATCTCCTTACGTCAGTAGATTAAGAACAGTGAAACACAGTCAAAATAAACACAGTCAAGGACAAAATCCACAGGCATCTGATGTGAAACAGGTCAATATCAACATAAGCTTGTCCTAAATTGACTGCAGTACACTGAAGGTGCTGGGATTTTCATGATATGTCAGAATTGTCTAGAGGAATTACTTCTAAGATTAGTTTTATTCACATGTATTTCTTGACTGATTTTGTTTTGGATATTCTATACGTCAGGTTTATACTGTTAAAGAGGAGCTGGACAGATTTTGGGTGGTGGCCTCACTGTGACCCTAGTGGCTGATTAGGTCCTTCCTATGGGTATGCAGGGGAAAATATTTTTATACATTGCTAAGAATTTGATAACAATGTTATATACATATACTATATGTATATAATGTAATAGTACCTACATATAATAATATAATATACAATGTAACGTGCATTACAAAGAATTTGATAACAGTGCAACTTCTGCAGTATCATAAGTGAGTCCATTTCAGAGGAAGAACTCGCAGTGTGTGCTCCTGAGACACTGCATTAGGGAATTCCAGAGCTGCAGAGGTTCCTCCTGTGAGTGTGTGACACAAGCAGTATGTTCTCTGTCTCACTGGAAGGGTGATCACCTGGGCCATGCAGGGGGAATTTCCACAGGCAGTGACTGCTGAGCAGCTGCTGTTCACTGTCAGGAATGAATGAACTATCACCCCATCAGGAATGATTTACTGATGAGTTGTTACTTTGTTTTTTTGAGAGTTTTAAAGTTCTTTTAAAAGTTCTTACACTTTCTGATATTTACATGTTTTAACTGAGTTTTCTCACACACTGTTTATGTAAATAATGATTGTTTTGTATTTTTCTTTATACATAGAGAGAATTGATGAACTGTTAGTTTGGCTAGTGTGATTGGAGAGGTGGTAGTTTCACCCTCTAATCTACTGTCATTTTTGTTATATATATATATATGTTGTATATATAGTGGAGTTAGAAAATAAAGTTTGCTTTTTAAAGTTCATTTTCTTTCCTTTTACACCTAGCCTGCTTCTGAAAGTTATTTCGTGTCACAGTGTAACAATGGCTGAAGCTGCTTCTGCTAAATCCTCAGCTTGTCTCGCCTCTTCTGCCAGGATCTGCATTTCTGGCTAGGGCTGGGAAGTGCAGTGGGAGCAGGAGGAAGGCAGCAGTTGGGACTGAGAGCTTATTTGTGGGATTTGAGGAAGGAGGGGAAGAACTGGGGTTGGTGTTTTGGGCAGACACGGGTCCTGTGAGCGCTGGATCCCAGCTCCAGTTCCAGTGCAGCAGCAAACTGCTGGAATCAGCCCTGTGTGGTTGGCAATGTGCAGGGCCATGTATGTGCACGTGTGTGTTGACTCCATTCCAAGGAGTTCTCTGTTTCTACAGGAGCCAGTTCCAAGATGAAAAGGTACCAACTCTGAGAGAAGCTGTTGTGGAGTCTATGCATCACAATCTCACAATCTACTTCGATGTCAAAGGCCATGCTAACCAGGTACTGCTCACTGCACTCCCCTCACCCCTTCTTTGGGTTTCTGACCTGCTGTTGTGTTGGTCTCAGACCAAGTCCCTTCTTTAACATGAGCAAGCCCGGGTCTGCTGCTTTGGTCACCCAGAGTCATCCTGGGAAGCTGCAGCTTACAATTGGCCAAGCCTTGTGCAAGTGTTGCACTCAGCTCACAGCACTGCTGTGAAACAGAGCAAAGGGAATTCCCTGCTGTGCTGAGGGGAGTCAGAACTTTTTCAGCTTCCAGCAAGGGATCTATAATTTGCATTACTGAAGGCGGATGCAAATTATCTATTACTAACATTTTATATAAATTAATTTTTTTCTTTAGCCTAGCAAAATATAGGAATAAATAATTTTCCTCTTCAACTTAAGCTTAGGTAGTACTAAAAAATTATACCCACAACATATTTAAGGGTATTTCAAATACTGAGAATCCTACTCGTTGTAAATAGAATCACGAATAGAAATTTTGCTAAAAACCAAAATACCATTTCTGTGTTAATGCTATAAACAAGATGCTGTTTTTCTTCTTCTCCCTTTCTACTTAAATCTGGCAACACAGCAGGGAAGTGTTTTTAAGATTGTTTTAAAATGACTTTGCAGTGTAAATTAAATATGAGTGTGTGTATAACATCTCTGTGTGTCTCTAATTGCAGGCAGTTGATGCCCTGAAACAACTCTACCAGGAATTTCCACAGTTGTATAACAGCAGCATTGTCTGTTCTTTCATGCCAGATGTTGTTTATAAGGTGACGTTTCCTAAAAGTTTATTTTTTATTTTTTAGTCCTGTCTGGGAATTTCAGTATGGTATTAACCTCCCAGTTCCTGGTTACTTTATGGCTGTTCAAATGCCTAAGGCTTTTATAAACAAATGAAGCATAATGCATAATCTTATTAGATCACTTTACTCATTAGATGCAAATAGGAATCTACAGTAATTCCCCCCCTTTTGAAAGCAGTGCAGACAAATGTGCTTTGCTCTTCTAGTTGGTGTCTGGCCAGGTATCTGTGTGCAAAGTACCTGCTAAATAAACCTTTTATATTCCAGATTATTCCTAAAAAACTCTCCTCATTCTTATTGCCAAATCTTAGGTTTTTTTCCCATTATATACATTGCATGACTGCTATGTAATTTCTTTAACATAAGAGCTGGTGTTTATTCAGTATGATTTGTAGGAAAAAACCTATAAAATATAAACATCTTTCTAAAAGAGTTAAAAAGGGATCTGGAGGGGAAGGGCAGAACGATTCTGGTAGAGTTGTAAATGCAAGCTAGGAGTTTGTATCTAATCACCCAAATTGTATTTAATGTTGCTGGGCTTTTGCATGAATTATTTTCTCCTTGGTCTTGCAGATGAGACAAGCTGACAGAAATGTTGTGACAGCACTGACACACAGGCCCTGGCAGCTGAGTCACCTGGGAGATGGGACACCCCGATTCAATTCCTTCTGGAAGCATTTCTTGTACATGGTGATGGATGTCATTCTGGACTGGAGCCTACACAGTTTCTTGTGGCGATTGTGTGGGGTTTCAGCTTTCCTCATACAGAAAAATTTTGTTTCTCAGTAAGTGTTGAAGTTTGCTCATGTATAAGGAGATATTCTCTTCTGTTAGTGTATAGTGTGGAGTTAACACAGTATGTGCTTTTCAAAATGTTCCATTTAGTGTTGATGAGATAATTTCTTTGTGCTGTTTTACGATTTTAAGCCTCTTTTTTTTTTATCTGAATTTTTACCTTCTGTTAGAACCTACATTTAGTCTCAAAGAGTATTTGTTGCTTTTGCCTGTTTACAATAAGAAAACACAAAAAGGTGATGCTGCAGAACATGGCACACTGTTGTTCTTGATCTGATGCTGATCCAAGACCAAAACTCAGCTGTAGCCTCAGCACTGTCTGCATTAACTCTGTGTCGTGTCAGGCTCCTCTCAGGGTGTCTCTGTTCCTTGCAGGGACTATGTGAGGCACTGGTCTTCCAGAGGAATTGCAGTGGTTGCCTGGACAGTGAACACGTTTGCAGAGAAAAGCTACTACGAAAGCGTCCTTGACTGCAGCTACATGACGGACAGCCTGCTGGAGGACTGCGACCCTCACTACTGAGCAGCCCGAGCACGCTGCCCTCCTGGGGCAGCCCTGCAGCCATCAGGGCACCCACAGTGCTGGTGGGCTGCTGAGGAGAGCTCTGGGAAGGGCAGAGCACCACTTGGCTTCTGCCTGTGGTCACATCTCAAATGCAGGAACCTTCTGGAGCAGCCACAGAGTCTGAGGAAATCACTGTAATGTGAAAGAATCAGATTTGACAACCCTGTTGGGCCAACCACCTTGTCTGTGCAGGTGGCTTTATAATTCTCTGGCTATTGCTTGGCTTTGTTTAAATTTTGGTTCTAAATTTTGGTGTTGGCAATTTTGGTGTCGGCAATTTTGGTGTCAAAATTTCAAATCATACCTTGATGCTAGTAATTTTAACAGCATGTTCTACAAGTGTTTACTAATTTAAGGTTGATTTATAGCACCTTAAAATCATTTACATCACTGTTCTTAAAACAGAAACTGGAAATAACAGTCCAATGAGCCAAAATAGAAGATGATTTCCCTGCCCTCTGTTGAAATTTGGCTGTACTGAGTCCTGTTGAGGAAGAAAATGCCAACTTTCCATGTGTGATGTGATGTGAAGGTTATGAGAATTAACAAATAAAACTTGAGTAGCTTCTTATCTTCCAGACCTTTTAAGAGAACCAAGGGAGGATAGGAATTTTTTTTCTTCTAATGAAGAAAAAACACAGCACATGGATGTATTTATTTTAAAGATAAAGCTATATATTGAGTGCTGGTAAGCAGTAGAACAAATGGAGCTGAAATGTCTTTTTAGTTTGCCTTTGGTTGCATGATTGAACGGCACTCAGAGGAATATGGAAACTGTAATCCAGATTTAACTTGAACTCCAAAGAGTCTGCAGTTACAATAAACAAGTCTTTGAGAATTCATCAGGAAGTGTTCTTTATCAGCTGGGCAGGGCATTTGTATAAAATGTCAAAATTAGTGCAGATTGGCCCAATTAGGGTAAATCCAAACTTCTGAAATACCACACATTCATGTGACCTGCTGGGGAGGGATGGATTTTTTTGTTTGTACCCTGAGCTCCCTCCAGGCAGAAATAAACACAGAGGAGATGCTTTTCCCTGTCAGGATGACAAGAGCCTCTGCCATTTGTTCACTCACGCCCCTGCACCGCCAAAGCAGCAATCTCAGCCTCCTGGTGCACATCCTATAGAACGTGTGGGTGTGTGTCCAGAGCCTGTCCTGCCCCTTGCTGGGTACTGAGGCCTCTGCTGCTACTGCTGAGCCCCACGAGGGCTCCCTGTGCTCACCAAAGGGCAAATGACTCTTCATGGCAAATGGCCCTCGCTCCAAAGGTCAGCTGTTGGTGCTGCTGGAGTTTGTGGCACTGCTGTGTCACCATCCTCAGTGCAAACACCAGGTCCACGGGCAGTGCCACAGCCAGGCTCCACAGCTGTATGTGCAGGGAAACACTAAAATTGAATCTCTGCTCTTGCATTGTGTGCCTGTGGCAGCTGGGTTGTCTTTAGCCTAAGTTATGAGCAAGATGAGAAGATGTGCCTCTTCCCAGAACAACAAGGGAGGAAAAAAGCAGGCACTAGTAGAAAATGAGCTAAACAAAACCAAAAAATTTATCATGGTGGTGGCAAAGTTGTAGCCTTGAATAAAAAGAAGCTGCAGCAAATCTCACAGTCATGTATGATAAAATAAGTCTTAATTGTGTTACTTCCAATCAATCCTTTAGAGGAAAAGGCATGTGAACTTTCAGTTTACAAGCAATAGTTTTACACAAATGAGAATTTGATAAGTAGTCACTCTTAGTTTTGATGGCTTCATCAAAGCTGCTTTTAAGTGACTGTAATATACTAAAAATGTCTCAGAAAAACAAACCCAGTCCACACAAGTTATTTCACAGCCATTGCAATGTCTCAGTCATTAAAAACAACTGCACTTGAATATACTTCCATATATTTGACCAGTACATCAGATAAAAGCTGATTAAACATAAAACAATATAACTGTTAGAAAAATATTTTTTTTAAACGAAACTTTTATTTACAGTTAGGCACAAGTTTCCTTATATTAAGTCAACAGCACGTGGTCAGCTGTGGAGGGAGCCTTCTGCATCAAAGTGATGCCAGTCCTGGGGGAAGGCTGTCACCAAAAACCACTGCTGCAAAACAACCCCAACGGGTGCGTATTCCTTATCACAGTAAAAAACCTAAGTCCTGACGCATTTTGCAACCTGTTCTTCTATTTTTTTTTTTTTTTCTTCCATTTGGACGTTAAAAAAAAAGCTGTTTGAGAGATTCCTTTAGTCAGGAGTGCCAGAGAGGATCGCTGCCGCCGCTCCCGTCCCGCAGCGCCGCTGCCCGGGCGCGCAGGGCGAGCTCCAGGGCCGGGCTGCGCTCCCGGCCTGTCCGGCACAAGGAAAACGCGTTACCGGCAGTGCCACCCCCGCCAGAGCGCCCCGTGCTCCCCAGGCATCTCCTCTGACAAGCTTTTCAAGTGAAGTTACGGGCAAGCTCAGACTGCAAGATCCCACCGCCTTATTTTCTTCTGAGCACCTAGGGACTCATTAGTAACCTTTTCTGAGATTGACTACAAGATGTGAAGTCTGTTTCTAAAGGGATTTAAACTTCTTGCCTATCAGTTGGGTGCTCTCATAAGACAAAATTACTCATTTACCCAGGAATTTCACTCTCTAGTACACAGAAGCTGGTGGTCAGTCTTTAGAAGTCACCACCAACACCAGAACAAGCTACTAAAAAGCACAACCTGCAGAAAAAAATTCACCCCACAAGCCCAGTCATTTTGTTTTCTCTTTACACAAGATGCTAAAATGCTGTGTCCCTGACATGCAGCTGTCACACACTATTTTTACTGAGCTGAATTTTTAAGAGCTTTCTGTGTTTCATCTTAGTTGCTCACCTGGTGGAAAGTCACTGCTGCTTGAGATCTCAACAGAAAAAGGATGCTGAAAACAAAATTCACAAGCAGATTTAGGTCATGATTTCCCTCCCATGTGTGTTATCTTGTATTTGAAAAGATATCAGTTACCTGTAATAAAACCATACTCTCCAAGTCTTGAGCAGGTTTGTGATTATGAGTGTTCAATAGCTATTCTGATCACATTTTTATCTCTGTTCAAGTTAATCTTTAAAGTTATTTCCATGCATACAGGACTTTGCCACACACACACCCATCACCTATGCCACAGCCCAGATTCTATGTAGGGGAATCTACATTTCCCTCTTTTGGCCATCTCACCTCATTGTAGGATGTGTTTTGGTTTCTGTCAAATGCCCGTTCTGGGTAGTCTGGCACCTCCTGGGCAGGTTGCCTGGATGAAGAGGCACTTCTCTGAAAAACAGTATTTGGCATCTGGCACAGCTGTGACTGTGTGTCAGCACTGCTCATCTCCCTTGTCTCAGGGAGATGGCCTTTCTACTAAATCCACAATGAGATCATTCTGACATCTCCTTCTGAAACCTGACCTTAACAACTACAAGAAAGTCCACACTTGGTAGGTGACCAAATCTCCCCCTCAGGAGTCCCTCTCATGACACTCAGCACTGGCACATGTTGTTTGAAAATCCCCAGCACATAGAAAATGTCCCTTCATATTCAGCTTACCTCTTTACAGTCAATATTTATTTGTATTATCACACACATAATTATAGTTAACAACAGTTCAATACCAATTATTATCTGTATTTGGGTTTGTATTTCTGTAATCATTTTAATGATAGCCAGTCATACAGAGGGATTTGGCTTTTTGAGAAGAAGGGCAGGAACCCACCAAACACTTTTTCTCTATCAGTATTTAGGTCAAGGAGTTTTTACTCAACCCAAATAAAAACACCAGACAGCACCTATATGTCCACATTTTAACACTAGATTGATGTCTCAACATGCAGGACTGCATTGAAAAATAAATTCAAGTTTAGTTATCAGTGTTGTATGGGATTTTAAATGGGGTTAGGTCAAAGCACACAATTTTACCTCAGTTGAAAATAACCACAAATCACAACCCCCTAAGGAAACCCATTGCTGGGGAGGAAGGCAGTCTCCTCCTTAGCCTGGGCAAGGTTCAAGTGTGACCAAACCCTTTGGTGACCATCACTGCACATGAACATTAGGAATGTTTTCTTGAAGTTTCATAACCATAAACTATGTCTGGTGAGGGTAAGAACTCTTCTATATGCAGATTGAATTCCAACCTGGAACACATAGTTAGGGAACTTTTACAGCATCTTTTTGTTGTCTAGAGTAAAGTAGCAAACATTAAGATGAAGCTTTAAGCACAACCTTTCCCCAAACCAGCAGCCTGTTTGCACAGCTGGAGGATCCCCATGGACCTGTACCAAATAATTAAACAGCAAAAGCTGAGCAGACTGACCTGTTGGCCTCTTCCTCCCAGTGCAGATGAGCTTCGCTTTGCCCTTTGCAGAGTTAGTAGCTTTTTAAGCAGAAATGTCTTATCTTTTCCTGCCTGCAGTCAAGACATATTTGATCATTAGCTGGAATGCATTAATTATCCTTGAGAGGCTCAAGGCCTGTAAGTAACCAGTGACCAAAATCCTTCTATTCCAAAATAATCTGTCTACAGAGGGAGCTGCAGCAGCACATATTGAAGATAAAATTCTTTTGCTACAACTCTATTTGTGAGTTACATTTCCCTGCAACTCCCATGGGGAAGGGCTCCCACCCTCCTACTACACACAGTTATAGGAAAAACAGGTTACAGCCACACAAAGCTGGATGAGACAATCAACATAGAAGCCAAATTATACAAAAGATACAAATGAAAGCCAAACTTACATTATTAATTTGCTTACGTAAGAGCTCAGTCATGGTCTTTCTTCCTTGTATTATTTGCCAGTAAAGATAAGTAACAACTCTAAACAAAACAAAACAAAAGGTCCATCATATGAGCACTTCATTCTAGTCAGTGTCTAGATAAAAATGTATCTAGTTCATTTTAACCCATTAAAAGACATATATACACACATCTCACAGAAAATAGATGTATACAATTACACAAGGAATGGCAAACACATGGATTTTCCTAAAATATGGTAAATGCATGAAATTGCTTAAAACATTCATTTGGAAAAGACCCAAAAATTTATGGATTTGTATTCAAGATTAGAGGTACTTTTAAGCGAGTCAACAATACCAGATGCATTTCAGATAAAAAATAACATAGACTGACTCTGTAATTGCCAGTTTTTTCCACTTAAGGTATTTTTCTAGTTCTTTTCATTACCAGACACTTACAGTAAAATGGTAGACAGGATGAAGAAGAAAAGTTCACTTGAAATTAAATTATGGTATATCCACACTACCCATTTCGAGGCAGTGTAACTTTGCAGTATTTGTATCCACTCATCGACTGCAGCATACATAGAAGACAAACCTCTGAAAGGACCACATTCTTCTGAAGGTTTTAACCTGAGAGGGTGAAAAAACAGCTACTTACTCATATGTTAACCAGTGAATTAGTTAATACTGTGATTTTGTACATCAAGATGCTCCTCAGTCTTCTATAGCCCTCTACTGTCTCTGGACTCCAGGGTACTTCCATGATCTGTGTTTCATTTTTAACTTGTGTCCCTCTCCAGTCATTAAATGCCCACCCCAGACTATGCAGTGAGACATGATCCTTGCTGCAGTGGATCAGTACCAAGCCCTGTAAGCACAATCTTGGCATAAATATAAAATGTCAATCACTGCAGCACACACTACAGGAAACTGAAAAACTGGATTTTTTTAACATTTCACCACAAGGTGAAATAATTTCACCTTGCCTTCAGGGACATGAGTCACTGCATATCTTCAGTAACAACAGAAGGTGGTAAGAGAGCCCATCATAAGAATTAACATTTTCAGGTAGACTGAAATAGGAAAGTGTTTGCTTTGA